TGCCTGAATTTCCCCATTTGCGGGGGTACCCTGAAAACGAGGCCCTGAGGGCCTGTCGTGCCTGCCTTCACTTAGGGCGGCCGACCTTGCTGCAATAAGGCCCGTAGGGGCTAAGCGGGCATAGCCTCGCATTCCCTCCTCCATATCTTCGTTAGTCCTCTGAGAAGATCAGTCTGCCGCCAGCTGGCGCTTTCCTTTCAAAACATCCCTCTCATAGCGGGCAACAATCTGAGGGGCGGTCTGCATCAATTCCTCCCGAGTAAACCAGTGGTCCTCCTTCGGATCTGTATGATGTCTGACGTGAACACGGAACTGCATCTTTGGCTTGGGAGGACGTCCTCTTCCTGGAGGCTTCTGAACGGGTATCTCTCTGTGGTCGACGATATCATCGATGTCGACTTCTCCATCCATGGTTGGGGGCAACATAGAACGGCGAGTAGGAAACTGGTTGGTCTGCTTAAAAGCAGCGAGCTTGGAGGYGTGAAATACAGGGTAGGTGCGCAGGTGACCAGGGATACAGATGACATACGATGGCCCATCTGGATCTGTCCCAACTATGTCCAAGACCTCCCAAGGCCCAAAGTACTGAGGCATGAGTTTGCGAGATATCCCAAACTCTTGTCCAAGTTCAGAGGACTTGACCCAGACTCTGTCCCCAACCTGAAATGCAGAAGGGCGGCGATGTTTATTTCCGGATTCAATCATTGCAGACTGTGCCTTCTGCATGTGTTCTACAGCCTCCTGCATCTTCTGTTCATAACGATAGGCAAACTCTAGAGTGCCGGGTGCAGTGTCTGGCTGATTGTCAGGTAGTAGAAAGTCTAAGGGCAGTCTAGGTTTAAACGTTAGTTGCAGACTATTAGGACTCACCCCCGTAGCACTATGTACAGCATTGTTATACAGACTGGCAACTAAAGCAAGCTTTTCGTCCCAGTCCACCTGGTTAGGCTTGATGTAGTGCCTCAACAGGTGCTGCACAGTGCGGTTCATCTGCTCCGCCTGGCCATTAGCTTCTGGATGGCTTCCAGAAGTCATCTGCAGTTGAGTTCCCTGTTCAGCTGCAGCGGCTTTCCACAGTTCACTAGTGAACCGTACGTCTCTGTCACTAACAATAGACTTTGGTAGTCCAAAGTCTCTGATCCAGTTCTCCTTGAACAGTTTGATTACGTACTCGGTCTTTGTTGTTTCCGGCATGGCTATTAATCTAGCATACTTACTAAATCTATCCACGATGACGAAGATCTGCCTCATTCCACTCTTGCTGGTGATCAGCGTATCCATGAAGTCCATGGACAAGCTTTCACCTGGCCTTTCCGGAATCGGAAGGGGCTTAAGCAGCCCAAGAGGAGCTTGAGTACGGGGCTTGTCCCGTTGACAAACTTGACAAGTCGCCACATACAGCTGTGCATCTCCCATCATCGTGGGCCACCAAAATCGCTGCAGCGAGTTGGCTGCGGTCTTCTTATACCCAAAATGACCGGTGGCATCATGACACTCACCTAAAAACAAACTGCGCAAAGACTCGCTATTTGGAACACAAGCGTTTATTCCCTGCCTTCTCTAGGAACAGCAATCCATTAACCAACTCAAACTCGGCTGAGGTCTTTTATCCTTCGCCTTCAGTCTGCGTATGATCTCAGACATAAACTGGTCCTGATGATAGGCTTCCACCAAAGACTGAGTAACATTGTCCGTCAGGCCGAATTCAGTAATTAGCGCACCTGAGAAATCCGGTCTGCGCGACAAGGCATCAGCAACCTTGTTGTACTCCCCTTTWAGATACTGAGGGTCAAAGTCATATTGCTCAATGACTTCGATCCAACGCTTAAGAGCGTCAGAGAGTATTGGCTGAGTTCTCATCCATCTCAGGGTCTGATGATCAGTCCGGAGGATGAAGAACCGCCCAAGGAGGTAGTGTCTCCAATGGGTGAGAGCCTTGT